AATTGTCTTTTCAGAGACAAAATCATCAGAACAATCACGATATGTTGACATATTACCAACTTAATATTGTGGTATCTATCGCGCTATTGACACCTATAAGCTTTCATATGAATGAGTACGAGAGGCTCACAAGGCCACTCCATACTACAAAAATATCCAGTTCTTCAATCAGATTTATTTACAGACCAGGCCCGAGTTAACAAAGCATTCTCAGACTTCAGTTAAGAATTTACTCAAAATTGTTCGCCTTATTTTAACTAAAATATAGTCCTTTATAAAACTTTTTGTTGTTTTAATGTATCAAATACTTCAATAAGAAACTATTTACAAAGTTTTGTGTTTCTAGATCAAAGAAATTTCTCATAAATGTGATTGAAAGTTGAGTACATTCTTAAATTAAAGGAGCTAAGTCGCTAATATTTGGGACCTAGTAATTGACACAAATGGGTCGGAACGCATACAATAATGTAATATGAATGTATATAAATTGATTTACATTCAATCGCTTCTGTTTTTACTGTAATTTCTAATCAGTTAGGTTCGGCGTGTTTTCAATGTCGAAGATTTTGGATGATATTGAGTTAGAGACTTAGCTACTTTAAGTCTGAGAATGCTTTGTGAACCCAGGTCGTCTGATGTGTCTCAGCATGATGTATAATAATAATTATATCACATTTATATCACACATCACAATATGTAATCTAATATTTTGCTCCTTTCTACTACCTGTGTTATCCATAAAACATAACAGGACGCCAAACTAAATAAACTAGAATGGTCATCACAATAACATATATAAATATACAGCTGGGGCCTGTTTCACGAAATTTTAACTAAGATAAAATCCAAATTTTAGTAATTTGATTGGATAATATCAGATTGATTTTAGTGTTTAGCCAATCAAAATTGAAGTATCTACTAAAATTTGGATTTTATCTTTAGTTAAAATTTCGTGAAACAGGGCCCAGGGCCCGTATTCACGAAAACTTAAACTAAGATACAATCGAAATTTTAAGAAATACTGCAATTCGATTGGCTGACCATTATGCAAATTGGATATATGCAAATTGATTTTACTGGTCAGCCAATCGAATTGCAGTATTTCTTAAAATTTCGATTGTATCTTAGTTTAAGTTTTCGTGAATAAGGGCCCTGGTCTATAACTTTTCTTTTCAGCAGTAAATATAGTATAATATTCCATAAGATTATAAATATATAACTAGTCGATATTGTTTTCTTATCAGCAGTAAATAAAGTATAATATTCATTCAAATTAACTTGTCAATAAATATTCTTTTTGACAGTAAACAAAGTATAAGATTCAATTTATTGCTTGTCAATAACTATTTTTTTCAGCAGTAATTAAATAAAATCATGTTCAAAAAGATTAAATATTTTATAACTGGTCAATAACATTTCATATCAGCAGTAAATAAAGTATTATGTTCAATTAGACTAAAAGTATATAACTGCACATGGTCAATAAATGTTCTTTTCAACAGTAAATGCAATTAACTAAATTCAACAAAGTAACATGTTTAATAAGTGGAGATTAATGGTCGCGTGCGAGACATTAAGTAATATATTAATATTGGACGAGAACGATAGCACGAGGTCTATATCTATAATTACGCAATGTCTTGCACAAGGTCATTAAACAACTTAAAATACAGACACTGTCCAGCACGTGCATTTCAATGAAATACGTCACGCGGGTCCTATATTTCAACTAGTATAAATAATGTACGCTTGACACATTGCCCGTACGATTATTTGAAATAATGATACGCCAACATCGAAGGTTGACGTCACATCTGTATTTTAAGATTAAATCTATCACTTGTCAATAACAGTTAATTTTAGCAGGAAATAAACTATAATGTTCAATAAGATTACATATATACCTGGTGGTCAATAAATATTATGTTCACCGATAAACTAAATTAACTATAATGTTCAATAACATTAAATATATAACTGGTGGTCAATAAATATTATGTTCAACCATAAACTAAATTAACTATAATGTTCAATAATATTAAATATAGAAATATATAGATATATAACTTGTCAATATATATTCAGTTCAGCAGTAAATCTGACTGATCGTCGTTAACATGGTGGGCCCAAAAAGGTGAACTTCATGTGCACCTTTCCAATTTCAAAAATGAAAATTTACAAATATTCTCCACATATACAATAATGATAATAGTAAGACTAAAAATACGGTTATATTTATCCTGATATGTACCGGTATCCAATGGTTCAATAGAACACCCGATACCACTCCCCACGTGGCTTACACATTTGTGCTTATATGAAATGATATGCGATGCGATGTCGCATAGTCCTTTTATACCCAACCACCTCTCTGAGACCACCTTTTTATCTATTATAGCTACACATCTTTTGAATATAAATACATTTGCATAAATATATATATAATTCGTGTCCGCAGTTTATACAAGTACGATTTTCTAAACAAGCAAAGTCTAATAGCATTACAACGTGGAATAGGAATACGATTATTTTTTTTTCAAATTAAATTAGGTTCTGAATAATCAATTTTACGTTAATTTGGTAAAAGTGGTTTATATCAAAAATCGAGGAATACAAAATTTTTTTTGTTATTTAAATTAGGTTCCGAATAATTAATTTTATATTAATTTGGTAAAAGTAGTTTATATCAAAAATCGAAGTCCGCCACTCAATTAGCATTTGTCCAAGGAACAACCATTCTAAGATTTATGTCAATTGGCGGAACTTTTTTTCTAAGCGGTTCGCTCCCAATTTTAAGAACAAGAACTTTAGAGATGGCTGTCGTGCTCGGTTCCTGGTCCTTATAATACGCTGATGACGTGGACCAATTTTTTGAAACATAGGTCATAATCTCATATTGTGTAGATGCAAATTTATGGAACGGTATTTCTAAACTGTGCCTCTGTCTAATCAATTCTGTATGGTTGAATCAATTCTGTGGGTGTGTTAGATAGTCCTGCAATTACTAAAAATCAGAACAAAATTCAGGCTAACGCGTAAAGACCAGGGGGTAACCTAGCCCCAGTGCAGATTTGTCATAAATATACAATATAAAAACATTATTTTAACGCACTGATATTTAAATACTACTGTACACAAATCACACGATTGCATATTTTAATTAAATTGCTAAATATCAAACTTGGATTTGCTAATTGTTAACACGAATTTAAAACATATCTAAACATGGCATAAACATTGATGGAATACTATTCCTTAAAATCCATTTAAAACATAATCTAACAATGCACGGAATACTAGTGAAACTTGATTTTAAACATTAACAATGGACGGAATACTATTAGCTAAACTGTGACTAAAGGACATGTAGCTCTAATTTATCCATAACATTCGACACTAAAACACGAATTACAATTCAATATTGGTCCATTTCAATCAATATTAATGTTATTATCTTGCCGTGAAATATGGGCTCATGGTATCCAATATTAAAGACACAACGGACATTTTTGAAAATCAGTACACGACGCCATATATGATCCACAAACGACCCAAAAAATAGATTACTTATTATTATAGTGGAATCACCAAGCGCAGACGCCTGACATTCAATTTGGATTGCTCATTTATTTCACCGAACACAGTCGTAACTGATTAGAAATTGCAATAAAACTTTGAAAAATTGAATGTAAAGTGTTTTTTCAAAACTGTTTCCTCTATTTTAAGGATGCTAAGAATATAACCATATGCCCTTTAAAATAAAATATATCATTACAATGGATGGAATACCCCTGGTAAAAATGTAATTAAAAGATAATATGACATTAAAATAGCAGGAATACTCCGAGTTAAAATGCGATTAAAAGATAAAATAACATTAAAATGGCCGGAATAGGACTTGTCACTCATATGACATTAAAATGGCCGGAATATTACTGGTTAAAATAGACGGAATATTAAAGGTTAACAATTCATTTAAAACATAATATGACTTTACAATTGACGGGATACTACTGGTTAAAATGTAATTAAAAGATAACATAAACAATAAAGTGAATGGAAAACTTATACTCACAATGTTAGAATACATGGCCATACTAATGGTTAATATTGATATAAAATATAACATTAACATTGACGGAATACTATATAGCTAAAATGCCATTAAAACTTAATATGACATTAAAATGGATGGAATACCAATTGTTAAAATTTATCTAAAATGCAATATAAACAGCAAAATTAATCGATTACAATACTTACAATGATTTAAGACATAATATTATGTTTATCGTTTAAATTATTTTAAAATATACTATTTTTGTGGTAATTGTTAATCACTAAAAGTTATATCATGGCTTGAATTCGTCGCCTTCTTGGAATCGAATGCAAAGATTTCCGTTCGTCATAATTTGTATTAAAAAGCTGAGAATATCAAGCAGGTGTCCAAAGGAGTTCCTGTTAAAAACACAAATAAAAAATCCGGTTGTTTTTTTCATTTACATTTATATAATGGCTTGACATCGTCGCCTTCTTGGAATCGAATAAAATGATTTCCGTTCGTCATAATCCGTATTAAAAAGCTACGAATATCAAGTAGGTGTTAATCGGGGGCCCTGGTAAAAACACAAATGAAAAGCCCGGTTGTTTTTACATTTAACAAGATGCGAACATTTTAGCATAATTTATTATTTTCACCAACACTGTACTTGATTTTGGATAACAAAATACAGAGAGTGATAACGGTTCGCTATGGCAGTGGTTCCCAACCTTCAGTCAGATTTCTCAGCGTCCTTAGAAAGCTTTGATAAACCAAAATGTGATACATCAACTCTATTCATTCATGCATGCATCCCCCCCCCCCTGTATTAATTATTAACGTGGATAGAGAGAAATGGGGTTTAACGTCCACTCGACACAAACTAGGTCATTTCGGGACAAACATTATGATTGTATTTCATAATTCGCTTGCGCGTAGGGGTCGTTAGCAGTGGGTGGAAACCGGAGGACCCGGAGAAAACCTACGAGGTACCCTTCGCCTTGTCACGTACAAGCGGAGAATCGAAACCACGCCCCTTGACTCCATGACAGATCGTCTGCTCCAACTCGCATGCCTTAACCATTCGCCCCCCTGCACCCTTTATAACGTGGAACATCATTCTTATTAATTTTATTGTGGTGTTAGCTAGGGTACTATACGTTATTGTCCGAATATCCACAACTTTTTTTTTGCGGGCCACCGTTTTCTCGGCGGATATCCTGCTGGCCCAGTTGACTTAGTGGACCCCCTAATAATTTTCCACGGACCACTAAGAGGCCCGTTGACCCCAGATTGGGTAACACTGGATATACATTAAACAAAATCAAGAAATTCGTATCCAGAAAATGACGCGTCTATATTCAATATCTCTCTAGAGATTCCGTTTTAGGTTGTATTACTTCAACAGCGTAGCCGGGGTTGTCATGCCCATCTTTACTCTGCCGTCTACCACCGCCTTGAATAAGGGGTAGTTTATTAAGATTTTGGTCTATGCTGGATATTTGTAGCTTGGCGTCTTGTAACCCGGATGTACCAGGTTGATCGATGTTAATTGTTGCGGATTGTTTTTGATTTTTTCTGTTGGTGAATCGATCGATCATTCGCCCAAACAACCGCTTTTCTTCGATAACGACTGGGGGACGGGGCCTAGGTTTAGCAGAATATTGAGATGGCGACATACTGACAGAACGCTTTACTAACAGTTCCGGTCTCTGATTCACGCGATCTTCTTTATGACGTGGCCACGTTTGAGATAGAACGTCAAGGTCACCTAGGTTTCTTTCCTCGTCCGACAGAGTTTGTGGCCGCGCACGTGGCGTGTCAGGCGGTATATCCAGTAAAATTGAGTCAGTTTTTACTACCGTATTTTTAGCTTTAAGTTTGGCACCCTCTTTTCCTTTCTTCTCCTTTCGTCGTCTTTCGTTTTTAGGTGGCATGAGATGAATGGGGGTTTTAAGAGGTGCATAGATTTCGCGAATTTCTTGGGCACACTGACGGACAGTTTTGACAAGATCACCCAGACTCTCTAAACTAAAGTCATCATAGTCCAAATCACTTGAGTTATCCTCCATCTCCCACACCGGTGTTTTTTTAAGAGACGTGGGTGATGTTGGGAGGCGCTTTTGTCGAGTTTTTGGGCTAGTTTCGTCATCAAAACTAACCAAAGTATGACTTTCTTCGCCAGGCGCAGTAACCGTGATAGTAGGCTCCAGGGGACGGGGTGCAAGGTTAAGTTTCATTTCCGGTGAATTAACAAACGAATGTCTGCGAACTTTATCGATTGTTTTCTGCATTTTATCGCGCCTGGCTTGACGGGTTTTTCCTGTTGGAGAGTGATCCGAGATTGGTTTCATTTCAATCCAATTATTTTCTTTCACATCCGGACAAATTTCACCTTTGTTAGGGGCGGCATCTGATAATAACTTAATAATATCCATGTGGCCTCTGTCGGTGGCATGATCAGCCGCAGTCATATTATCGTTATTTTTAATATTTAAATCCAATGAATGCTCCCCAAGACTATGTGAATCCAACAGACGTGTTACGGCCTGTGTGTGACCCAAAGCGCACGCGTACATCAAAGCTGTATTCCCATCTACGTCAATTTTGTTGACGTCAAGATCATTCTGAAATATAAATAAGAAAGTTTTGATTATAGTGCAAAACAAGCTGTACACGTGAGTAAATACACACATTAAGTACAAGCACATTTTGATAATTTATGCCATTTCCGGTCTACAACCGTGATAATGAGAACAAGATGAAACAGGTAAGTTTAAATTCTGTCAATTGTGCTGCAGAACGGTATTCTTTTCTTTTGGGACTCGGGGCCCTGTTTCTCGAAATCTTAACTAAAGATAAAATCCAAATTTTAGTAGATACTTCAATTTTGATTGACTAAGCACTAAAAACTTCAATTTTGATTGACTAAGCACTAAAAACAATCTAATATTATCCAATCAAATTTCTCAAATTTGGATCTTATCTTAGTTAAAATTTCTTGAAACAGGCCCCAGGTCATTTGCACTTCTGATTAGCCTATTTACCTCCAAAAAATGATCAGTAGAGAAAAAGTGCCTTTACGAAAAATATTATCTATTAGTAGGCGAACCGAATATCACAACAATTTTCCCTTTCAGTACTCGATATATTTAATAAGACCCGTGTCTGTATCTGGCTACGCGAACTTATGCATCTTTCGTTATACTCCCGTCAGACCGGGGAGGCGTCTTTACTGCGCTGCTACAGCGACCGAAAATGATCTCAGAGCACGCCAAGATTGCCATAAGCGTGGCAAAAGCGTTGTGGAAACGCCAGATATCGTGTTTTGCTGAGTCACGCCGTTTGTTTTGAATATGTTCAAAACAAACGCCACATTTCTGCGATCTGACCAGGAAAGCTGTAGAACGCGGCTTTTTTCAAGTTTGTAGTTTTTTGTGACATTTTCTCGCATTGTGTTCACGTTTGCCGGCGACTTCGCCGTACGGTCGAAACAGCGCAGCAAGGACGCCATCACGAATTTATGTCAACAAAAGTCACAGTAAGACGAAAATCAGCCTTTCTTTGAAAATGAAAATTAGCCAAGATGCATCACATACATTTAAACGTTAAAAGTTGCTGGCATGACAAATTATTTATTTGAGAATTATGTAGTCGACTACAGTAAATGCCGTCAGTGCTACATAGCTGCATTATTTTTTATTTTCTATTGAAAATTATTTATTAGACTATAGATTTTAAAGATGCATTATGTAAGATTTAGATAAAGGCTGACCATTCTGGCTATAATAGTTCCAAACTAGATAATTCAAAATTAATATATTGAACATTTCATTCAAATTACTTAATTCTGTTTGAAGTTTTAACGTAGATTGTATATTATCGCAGCAACGTCACTTAATAATCGAGACGCAGGCTCGCTTCTCAATTTTTAAATTAAATCGTATTTTAATCTGTTTACATCTGCGTCATTCCGATAGTTGATTATATACTTGTCGTGTTAATAAATGTCTAAATAATGAATCTTTGAGTAAATGAAGTCTAATTTAGTTTGATATATCGCGGCAACCGAATCCAAATTCCCAAAAGCATAAACCTTAAACAATCGAATCCTTGTAACATTAAGCTTAGTTTCACAACCGTCAACAATCAACTTGTTGATCTCTGATTACTTCACACATCATGTCAAATTATTGAATTTATTCCAAGTTTTCATCTAATGTTCTATACATGTCTCAATCCGGAGGGAGAAACGAATTGACTTCAGTTTGCAGAGTCGACCATGAATAATTGAGCAAGTTCAGGGGAAGTATCGAGCGTTTCACCACAGGGGATCTAGCGCAAACTTGACACAAAGTGCAGAGCAAATATTATTTCTGTCGATATGCCTATAATACATTGCCTATTGGGGTCTGTTGAGGGCAAGCCAAATTCATTTACCTTTCCACGATTCCTACAGGACCAAAAAGATGATGGGACAATGGTGAACGTTGGCCAAAACTTGACCGTTATATGACACCGGGTGTATCTTGTCTTATAGATCCGATAGCCATCATGTATCCGTAAACGATCGAGGTGATAGAGACTTTACATCATATCAACTGTTTCATTTCTACTCAATCTGATTAAAACACAGATTTGGCCTAAATATTATCTTTGACCCAGTAGACCCCGCCTTCTGACACCCAGTAGACCCCGCCTTCTGACACCCAGTAGAACCCGCCTTCTAACACCCAGTAGACCTCCGCCTTCTGACACCCAGTAGACCCCCCGCCTTCTGACACCCAGTAGACCCCGCCTTCTGACACCCAGTAGACCCCGCCTTCTAACACACAATAAACTTCGCCTTCCGACACCCAGTAGACCTCCGCCTTCTGACACCCAGTAGACCCCGCCTTCTGACACGCAAGTTCAAACCTGGGTAGACTCGGTGTCGTACACGAAATGAAATGAAATGGGGTTTAACATCCTACTGTTCTGCTCCGACTGGGCTAATGACGACGAGCATACGCCATGCAGCGTGCTAAGGGAAATTTTTCCCGGGCAGTGGCACTACGCCCCTAATCTTACATCAAATTCCAACTGCCAAGGGATCTTTTACGTGCACGCCAATGTGTATACGGGACCTCGGCTTTTCGTCCCACCCGAACGACTAGGCAGCTGTCCTTGTCAGGCCCACCATCCTGTACCACTGGTTTTTTGGCAGATCTGTATAAAAGGCCTTAACTGAGTAATAACTATCACATTTCTCTTCGATTACTGTCTATTCAATGTCTTCAACCTAACTACAATTAATTTCCGACGTGGTTTCCCCTTGTCAGTGGTGCAGAACGGAGGGCCTGACAAGGACAGCTGTCTAGTACTTCGGATGATACGAAAAACCGAGGGCCCGTGTATATATTGGAATGCACGTAAAAGATCCCCTGGCAGTTGGAATTCGATATAAGAGTAGGCGATAGTGCCGCTGCCTGGGCAAAATTTCCCTCATAGCACACTGTATGGCGTATGCCCGTCTTCATTAGCCCAGTATAGGAGCAGAACAGTAGGACGTTAAACCCCATTTCATTTCATTTCCTAACTACAATTAAGCATATAATCTGACACGGGCGCAGGTCATCTCTTTCAATCGATTCTCCATAGCCGTTACCAGGCAGACATTGTCATTCCATGCCCAAAACGGAAGACGTACACACTCTATGGTCGGCGCATGACTCATGAAGCGTAACTACGCGTAAGCCGTCATGGCCGGTCAAGTCGGTGAAAAACACCACCTGATTAACTTAACTGATAATATTTGCAGTAATGCTAACGTGGTCTTCTTTATAAGATGTTAGAAGCATTACAAAACAAAATAAGTTAGCAGGGTGAACCCTAGCACACTGATCAGCAGTGAATATTCGCTGATAAGGATGATATTGATGCGACTTAATAAGCCACAAATATTAACTTATTTCCTACGACAAATTAAATTCTAAAACATTTTTTTTATGTATTAGAAAAAACATAAAGACGTTTGACGTATTTGTAGGTAAACATTATTTCCTATTTAGTGTAAATGGGTATTAAAATGAGTAAAAGACTCCGTTCCACCCGAACTAGTAACGTCTTATGTAAACAATGCACGTGCCATTGAGCCAATGATTGACGCCGCGTGATGAGACGTCACGTGTTAAAGGTAGTCATATTTTACAGAGATATTAGAAAACTTTCGTAATCCTCTGTGCTACAGATTGGAACCCCAGAGACTCCAATCCATGGATCAAAACGAACAGATCACCATCGGAAATGGAGATTGTGCGAACGTCCAACTCACCTGCTGCAATAGTACAGAGATCATTTCTAGTTTATTTAAGATGCAACCGTAGATTAACGATGTCTGCCCTCTTTCATTCTGATCATTGACGTCAGCACCAGCATTCACCAACTGTCTCACACAATCTACGTCTTTCACGTGCATTACACACGCTAATAATGGCGTCTCTTTGCGTTCATTGCGTATTTCTACGTCACAACCTGTTTGAAGCGCCATCTTTAGCTGGAACGAGAAAGGTAATTTAAATAATGATTTAACTGTTTATCTGATAAAACAGAAACCAAATAAAATCTGAAAAAACAAATTAATAAAAAATACAAAACAAGACTGTCTTGACGAACAATAACTAACTGTATCTGAAATTGAAAGTAGCGCCCAGTGCTTTTTTACATCGTGTGCACAAAGGCACTTGAAGCGATTAAAATAAAACTTACAAATGTCTGTGCATCCCGGAGACAATGAAAAATAGACTGTTTTATTTATAAGCATGCTATTTTAATCCTGAGTAATGGACTTGGGACCGCACTAGAAATTGTAACATTTGCTGTCGCTTCGCATCAAAGAAACACATCCTATAGACTATAAAATTAAGCTAGCTAGGATCCTCGTACCTTTTCTTTACCAGCAACAAGACAATCGTTATTCTTTACTCTATACTAATATTTGTGACTGTCGTTTGTTTGTCCGTCTGTCTGTTCAGGGTTGGTGGCTACAAAAGGGCTGTCCTGAGGCTGAAATATGGTGTATAAGGAAAGCTCGGACCGGGGAGTAACATAGGCCTGGTGGTAATGGACTACCACTTCCGGTTACGGAGGTATACTACTTCCAATTCATGCGTGCTACGCCTGGTCAACCGTTAATGTTTTCATAATTTTAAAGAAAACAAAAAACACAGCCGATAGACTAACGCATTTGGCTAGAGCCTCCATACCTGTTCTTTAGCAGCACCAAGGCAATCGTTATTTTGTACATTTCCTTAATTTTAAAGGAGTTTGTGGGTAAACAGCAGTTTTCTGGCACATAAAGTATTCCCGAGGCCATAACCTTCTGCACAAAGGCCGGAAAATTAATTCTGTCATAAAATGATTCATAGTTTCTGTGGACAACAAGTTTCTGCTATGAGTTAATTGGAACTCGAGTCAATATTTGTTCTTGGTATGGTTACAGACTTACAGAGACATTAACTGAAGAACGACTCGTATAATAATTCGCTTGCGCGTAGGGATCTTTACCAAACGTTCACTCTTCACAAATCAGGTAATTTCGGAACTAACATATTGTTCATTTCAAAAATTTGCTTGCGCGTGCGCGTAGGGATCTTTACCTGTCGAAGGAAACGGGAAAAGTCAGAGGAAACTCACAAGGTTGAATAGGCGAGCCTAATCCTTGTCACGCACACGCGGGGAGTCAAACCCACGCCACTTGACTCAATGACAGAGCTTGTGACCTAACCCCCTCAAATGAAACAATCAATATATAAATGCAGCTCGGATAATTCAAAATGTCACAGTATACATGAACTCGTTGACAAGTGGGGTCAGAAATTCCGGAAATAGTAAGCATATCCTGCCTCGTACAGAGCACACTAAAACAGAGTTTACACCAAATGCATTGTAAGTTTATAACATCAATCCTGTTTCCTTCCACTGTTATAGGCCCCTGCGCGCAAGAGAATTATTGAAATAAAATTAAACCATATGTTAGTCCCGAAATGACCTAGTTTGTGTCGAGTGGACGTTAAACCCAATCTATCTCTCTCTCTCTCTCTCTCTCTCTCTCTAACATCAAAGTAAAGCAAACATTTGAGGAAAAAACACACAAAGTAATAACAATAACTCCCCGAACTAATGGCCACTTGACATCTGTGTTTTTCTGTTTAAATCAATGAAGTAATTTATCAATATTTGCAGTATAGAATTCAGATTAAACAAGCATAGATTTGGTCATGTACATGATTTCAATCAGCCACCAATAATATTATATAAAATGAGAAAATCAATATACAGCAATACAATACACCGTGAGACAAGTAGCGTGTGGCGAATAAATAAACGAAAAAAAGAACCCAACCAGGGTCGCGTTTCTCAGTCTCCGTTCGGAGCTGATTAATTTAACATTGGTTCAAAATTAGTTGATAGTCAGTGACCTTGACATGTTTGGTAACAAAACCGTGCCGCGCAGAGGTTCGGTGATACCTGTGAACCACCCCTTGAATACATGCCCCCGTGAATCAAGCACGGCCTTTCCCGAGGATGAAATTTGTTGTTATGGGGTAGCTAGGACCGCGTAGTAACATGGGATAGGTCACGTTGGACTACACCTTCCGGTTTCGGAGTTACACTACTTTCAGCCGGTGCAGTGCCAGATCATCCGATAATTTTTGATAAAGAAAATAGTTTTGTAACAATGACAAGGCGCATATCCAGAAGGAGGTAGGGTTACAGGCGGTCCGCACCATTAGCTGCAGAGCATATTTAATTTCTCCTACATTCATCGAAATAACGTCGAATAAACAGACGTATACAATACATTGCCACGGTTACCGCCTTACTCCACTCTAATCCTATAGATGAATGCGCTTAAATGAGCAGTTTGTATATGAACTTTTGATTTTATGAAAAAATGAGAAAGCCGCCTTAAATTAGTGGCAAATGAGTCGTCGACCTCTCCGCATACCTCTCTGCACGCCAGAAGGAGGGTGGGGGTGTTCAGGAATTTGAGAAGCTGAGGTGGAGGCGGGGGGGGGGGGGGCGAGGTTTAGACAACTTCAAGCTTTGTGCGAGTTCTGGGGGATTACTCGAGAATTTTATCCAAACAAAGTTTCTAGGGAAATATTTCTGCTCATTTAGATGCGAGAGAGAGAGAGAGAGAGAGAGAGAGAGAGAGAGAGAGGGGGGGGGGGGTTAACGTCCACTCGATACAAACTAGGTCATTTCGGGACTACCATATTTATGGTTTAATTTTATTTCAATAATTCGCTTGCGCGTAGGGGTCTTTAGCAGTGGGAGGAAACCGGAGGACCCGGAGAAAACCCACGAGGTTGGACAGGCGACCCTACTTCTTGTCACGTACAACCGGGGATTCGAAACCACGCTAGTTGATTCAATGACAGGCCTTATGATAACCTCCTCATTTAGATGCTACATCTTTAGGATTAGTGTGGAGTGAGGCCAAAGCGATGGCCATGTTTCGCGCGTCTGCTTGTTCGACTTTATTTCGATGACTGCAGGAAAATTAAAATAGGCTCTGCAGCTAATAGTCCAGAAAGCCTGTACCTTCATTCCCGCCTGGTCATTCTGTACACATAGATCCATCTACTTCATACTTCGAGAATAATTCTCTGTCCTTAATGGTGGCCATATCCAAAAATTAATATATTACTTTGTTATACGGTTCTACTCCGTTTCACATATGGAATACACACAGAAACTAAATAATCTATTCAATTCCATTAAATGGAAGCAGAATAAATACTTTTCAAAATTCTCGAAGTATGCTTAGTGTTTTCGACTAAAATCGTCGATTTAGGATTTAACATGTCGGTCAGTCAGCTCAGTGTCTATTTTCAAGCGAGCTAACTGAAGACAAAGTTTAGTATGGCACCTGATCACTGTTACAAAACTATTTTCTTTATCAAAAATTTAGAAACAAATAAATATTTCTACATACTACCATTGTAGATAAATACTTTTTATTTAGGAAAATTGCAATTCAGGACGCTGACGTGAGGACTCATAGCATTTCTATGTCCTTCTTCTTTACGCTATAAAAAGCCCATGTGTCAGGATTAAGGTTTCCAGAAGAATGTTCCGGATTTCTAAAGTCATCGATCGTAAAATTTCTATGTGCTTCTAAGTTCTATTTTACGCAATATAAAGTCCATTTGTCAAGATTAAGGTTTCCAGAAGAATGTTCCGGATTTCTAAAGTCATCGATCGTAGCATTTCTAGGTCCTTCTCTTAAACGCAATAAAAAGCCCATTTGTCAGGATTAAGGTTTCCAGAAAAATGTTCCGGATTTCTAATGTCATCGATCGTAAAATTTCTAGGTCCTCTTTAAGGCAAGAAAAAGCTCATTTGTCAAGATTAAGGTTTCCAGAAGAACGTTCCGGATTTCTAAAGTCATCGATCGTAAAATTTCTAGGTCCTTCTCTTTAAGGCAATCAAAAGCCCATTTGTCCTGATTAAGGTTTCCAGAAGAATGTTCCGGGTTTCTAAAGTCATCAATCAAATACTAATTGAGCGTTCTAGTTGATTTAAATACGGCATTAGTCTACAACAATCTCCCTACTCTAAGATAGAGAAATCAATAGACTACCTTATCGTAAAATATATAAAACGAATAGCAACTATTTGTTCATACTCCTTTCTGATTGATAATATTTGGTGCCATCGCGTACAAAAGTAATATTTTGTTTTTGTGTTGTGTTTGTTTTAGTTTTATGGTTCATAAGTCTTCCTACAAATTCTATTATCATTTACTTATCTAGCGGATCTAATGGAAAGATTATGTACAATTGTTAATGGTTCATTGTATATATTTGAAAACAATACGTTGACTTTTACAACCTGGTTTAATGAATTGTTTTAGTGACTTACACCAAGAAAACTTGGACAGCGAATACAAGGTGTGCAGTATGTTCATTTATTGTAATACAGAAATCATATTCAACACAGGTCCCGTGTTTACATTGGAATGCACGTAAAAGATCCCTTGGCAGTCGGAATTCGATATAAGAGTAGGTCGTAGTGCCGCTGCCCGGACAAAATTTCCCTCATAGCACACTGTATGGCGTATGCCCGTCTTCATTAGCCGAGGTTAGGAGCAGAACAGTAGGACATTAAACCCCATTTTATTTCATTTCAGAAGTGGTAGAACATCGCCACCAGGCCAATGTTACTTCCAAAGGTCCGAGCTACACCTATAAACAAAATTTCAGCCACGGACAACCCTAGTCTTGCCACAAATCCTGAACAGACAGAGAGACAAACAGACAAACGACAGTCACAAATATTAGTATAGATAGTAATAAAAAGTAACAGATTAAAAATTAATTGTAATCACTCATCTCGAGAGGGGGGGGGGGCAGATTAAACTGATAATAGGTCTTGATAATTTTCACAGAAGAGAATTGATAGACGGGCTAGAAAACGATA